CAGCAAAAGCCTTGCAAAGGAATTACATGTCACACTTATTCTGCTCATGTTCAACAATTACTGTAATCCATATGTGCCAAACAGAGTTGGAAAATAGAAGTAAGCAGATAAATCCAGGCGAGCTGTTGCTCATTAATTGTAGTCTGTGTGCTAAGCTAAGCTAATGAGCTGTTGCATTATACTATAAGAGTTAAATAATAATAATAATAATAATAATGGACTGGATTTATATATTCAAGTCACCCAAACTTTACAATACCTAATCTAGGATTTTTTATATGCCTATTGAAGCACACACTGTATTTAGCTATGTTGGCGCTTTTTCAAAGTCACTCCATAAGCGCTTTAATACAATTACCAATACCTATTCAACCTTTCACGTCACCCTGGCCTTAAGGCAAGCTACGGTTGCCTAGCCAAACAAGGACTCGCCTTGTGCAGAGCAAAGGAGAACCTTAGAAGCTATGTAGAAAAGACGCGAGGGCCAGGCCTGGATGAACCACCTCGAGAGTATTATAATGGGTTCGCACACCATCTGCCCCTTTGAGCCCATGGACTCTAACAACGCACAGGTAGAATTGGCTGAAGAATTAAGGTATGAATAGTTGTGATATAAGTGAGTCTTTGTCTCAGCTATAGTGAGTCAGGTACTAAGACCTAGGCAGAGGAACGGTATGAGTCTGGCCCTTATATCTACGGGCGCCCACGTCATTAAGGTTTAACATGATATAAATCGCTCTCCCGAGACCCCATTGAGTTTTTGTATTTCCCCACGCGTTACGCTGTGGAGATTGCGCGCAATCAACTGAAGGAGAATCAGACCTAGAGATAAAGCACGGAAACCGACATTACTGCAGTTATCCGCAATGCTTCAAATTAATTTTGTGACTACCTGCAATATAAAATACAAACCTTTGTTTGCAGCTTCAAGTTTTTTATTCTTTGTTTCTTGTGTTTTTAGTTTCTTCTCCACGTCTGACAAAGAAAGTAAAAAAGTACTTTTAAACAGGATTTAAGATCAAGCAGAAATGTGTTGCAGGTCTTCAAAATATTTATGAGATTGACTCTACATGCACTAAATTGTTAAATGACTGACCTTTGATTTTGTCAGATGTCTGCGTTTCAGCCTCTTTCAGTTTCGCCCTCAGATCAGCAATCTCCATCACTAGTGGAAATACAAAAAACTGGAATATTATATCGTACTAAAAGGACACCAACAGCATGACCAACCAAAAAGCTAATTCAACAATATTCATACCATATTTATAATTCTCTGCATCTATATGCTCAAGTTGACTTTCAGTGTCATCCAGCTGCCTCTCTTTCAACTTTAGTCTCCTTTGAAGGTCTGAAAATGAGTTGAGATTAATAAACACAACCATTAGCTTAATATACAGGTTACTTCATGCAATATAGATTTCAAAGTTTGTTCTGTACCTGCAAGGCTCTCAGTATGAGCCTCTTTGAGGGCTGCTATGTTATCTTCCAGTTCTTTAATTTGCACTTCAAGCTCCATAATCTGAGCAGCTAAAACAAAACACAAACGTTATGGACTCTGATGCTGTTTGATATTTCACTCCTTGTTGCTGACTGAACCAGAACTCATGACTGAACTCATACCACTTCTTGTGTTTCTCTGATTTCTCATGGCCTCCAGTTGATTCTCCAGATCTACAAAAATAGGCAAAAGTGATGTTTTATGTCCTTAAATATTTGTAGTATTACTATGATCGCATTTGAGGAGAGCCCACCTTTAATTTTTGCTTCTTGTGCCTGATTCTTCTTTTCTTCTTCCTTCTTCAGTCTTGCTATTTCAGCTTGCTGATTCAAGATCTGAAATGCTACAAAAAAGGTTTATGCATATATAACAAGAAGAGAGTGAGGGAAGTATTTTACTCTGACTGTTACTCACTCAGCTTAATGTTTTCACCCTGTTCATCTTTAACTCCATCAATCAAATTAGTGAGCTTTCCTTGAAGTACTGGGAAAAAAAGATGATTTTTTCAAGAAGAAAAAACAAAACAGAAATGATCCTATTTTTGCTTTACACTTGTTACTTTACGCAGGTAAGATATGTCACTCACCTTTAATCTTCTCCTCATCTCTATCATTTTCCGCCACAGTGTCCAGTTTCTCGATTTCTGTTTGCAGTGCAATAATCTGCAGAACTTGGAAAGAAGTTGTGTTTTTAGCAAAGGCTCTGATTTTAACAACTATGATCCATATAAGAAATTTTGTGAATACCAGCTAGGACACTTTCTATTTGGACTGGCTGAGCATGGGGCAAATTAGCTGGATCACCTGCTGAGGCATGTGTGTGTCCAGAGGTGGCCTATCAGCTGTCTAAACACCTATTAAAAGGAAGCTAGCTGGATACTGGAGGAGAGAGGCCCCAGATATAAGGAGGAACGCGCGAAGGCCAGGAGAAAAAGAGGGACCCGCTGGTTGATCGTGGGGGTGCGGTGCCTCATCTGGAGACGGACCAGTCAGCGTGACATGGCGACCCAGTCCCGACAGCAGGAACGGCGACAGTAGGAGACAACGTGTGTGATTAGTAGCAGGGGAGAGGTATACCTCTGCCTACATTTGTGAGTAGTGTCTCCACTGTCATTCACTGGGTGCAGCCGTGTTGGCAGAGGGTTGCCATGGCTATAAGCCAGGGCCGCTTCCGGGACGATGGTTCTGGCACCTATTTGTTTATTTACAGGGCGATGACGCAAGTGGAGCCGCGGTGGTATCGAGCGACGGACGCCAGTGTGTGATGGGCCCAGTGAAAGGACGAGAGGGGGATAGACCCATATGGAAAAGATATGTATAAATCTTATAAAGTTTGCATCTGTCTTGTGTGAAACTTGTATGAAAAGCATACAAGAGTAAAAACAGATGTAAGATCCCTTGAAAAATTATATAAATGAAACTTGTATGTTTTGGATACTGACTAAAACAATATATGAAAGTGGCCACTTTCATGAGTAAATCATATAAGCCTTATATGATTCACTATATGAAGTAGGCCACATCTTATGCAAGTCTTTTATAAGTTTTTACTATTTCTTTTCCATATGGGGAGGCTCCTCCCCATCAGCCTGGGACGAGGCTGGCGTGGACCCCCCTCCGCAAAGGGAATTTCTGTCCAGCTCATGAACACCTAACAAACATTCATCCTGGACTGTGGGACAGTTACATCAGGGAACCGGATGGGATTTTAGTGCATGCAGAGAATTATATTTTTAGCAGTTTTTGAAGTGGGTTTTTTTTTTATTCCTGGGGGATTTTAGTATATTAATAACATTTTATTGTATACTTTTTTCTTATTAGTATTTGGGTTGTTTTATTCCTACTGCCCGTCTCGGTAATAAACTGTTTCTGATCAGGCCGGCTTCATCATTGTGCCCGGAGTTTCTGATTCGCTCGCTCCCCCCTTGTATTTAAAAGAACCATCCTCTTTAGTATGACATTCTTGCGCACCGGCTTTAGTGTCTACATTACATCTCTCTCAGGTTGGCTTCACCACAAACTCATTAACTGTGAGGAAGTGATAATAAAACACTGAGAGTGTGATGAAACAAGTCAGGGAGACAGTTTATATTAGTGACACATTATTAAAACCTATTTTTTCTTTAATATATTAAAATGCTCTGTCTGTCTGTGTGTTTGTTTCTTTGACTGCAAACTAGACCATCTGGAACTAAGCATTAACAATTAGCATACAAATACATCTCAGGCTCCTGAAGGTTCTAACTTATCAGATATTTTGGCCTCATCATATTGCCAATCAACCACCTAGCAAAGGACTTAAGTGTCCCTTTCTTTGCAATTATGCACCTGTAAGACCACATAAAAGCATTTTTATTACACAACATTAAAATCTGCAAACAACCCTGCAATGGGCAAAAATGACCCGTTTTTAGCTTTTATGCAGCTTTAACACCTTGTGAAAACATCCTTATTTCCATTCCAGAATAATAGCATGTCTCTATAATAATTGCACAAATGCTGTCATATCAATCATTAACATCTGTATATGTTTTTGAAGAAAACATTCTAATTATTTGGATTTCCATATGTATTATATTTCTTCCATTTCCCACCCCAATATCACGTTTTCCATTTGCATTTGTTTCACCTGCCTCTTTCTGTGTATGTCACCCGTACGTCACTCAGAGGTCATGAAAATTTGTTCAAGTCACCACTACACGGGGAATGAATAATTAGAAATAAAATCCTTAAAAATCAGCATGAGCAGACAATGGTAATGCTGAAGACGCATGAGGACTGCATGAACCATAGCACCATTACTGCTAAATATTATGAAAAACTACATTTTTAGTTTAAAATGTTTTGTGGCTGTTGTTAATCCTGCTGTAGTGTACATTGTATATTACAATTTGGATCTTACATTTTTTTGACCAAAGATATCAATACATTTGCTATACTCCTTAAGTCTCTCTTTTAAAGCTACAGTTTTCACGTGTACGTTTTTGTGATAGTCAGGGGCCATGCCAATATTACAGTAGTCCACGTAAATGTCAAACCCAAGCTTTACAGGTCAGGTTTTGTTTGTTTTTAAAACTGAACGTACTATGTACACCGAATAATCATCCAAGTTGTCAGAACTTAAAGAAATTATGCAAACTCATCATCTCAAAACAACGTAAGAGCTTACTTTTTTACTTAATAATTTAGGGCAACTTATTCATTGACTATGTTGTCTCCAAAGAATACAAATATCATTTTTATATGTATATTATGTTTATATTTTTTTGCTCTTTGTAAGAATTTTTTAGAAACCAAATATGACTATATACAGTCACATAACAAAAATGTTAAGAATGATGAGAAAGTAACCACACATCTCTGTGCCATACATGAGCAAAGCAAAAAGCACGTTAGCATTATTTAGCCACAGAGCTGAATTAGGCATGCCTGCCAACCACCAAGCATTAAAAAAGAAAACTTTGCTCAATATGATTATATCTGTTGGCCAAGTGCACAAACATGGCAAACATTAATATAGCACTATCATTGTGTACTATTAGGCATGCACCACTAATGATGATACACAATGCAGTAAATATCTTGGTGTTATTCTTATGGTCTTTCAGGGTTTTTAATCAGTAAATATACCTACATGTATCATGATGTATTATTTATTATTGTCCTGTAATGTATCAAGTGTTGCAACACTGTGAGCTTCTTAACGGCTTCTAATATCTTCCCTTTTTAAATCATTTCACTGAGATCAGAAATAAATTGGTTAAATATGATCAACTGGATGGTGGAAGATGGAGCATATTAATACAGTACAGCTAACAGATTCAACACTCACCAAGTGAAGTAACAGAGCTCGATTTGGACTGCAGCTCCTTGATTTTGTCATTCAGGTTTTGCTGCAGATCTGCACAGAGACATTTATTATGGGTGCTGATCACAGAGAACAGTTTTCTATATTGAGAAAGAACAGCAAGTCAAAGATTGCACTCACCTGTAATTGTCTGCTCATAATCTGAACAGCTTTCTGTCTCGTTCAGCTTTTGCTGCAAGTCTAAGAGAAAGGTTACATTACTAAGCAATAGCCTAGGCTAGTAATGCTATTAAACTTGTAGTCTATCCACATGTTGCAGAAACTTGAAATAAAGAGAAACTTGAACTTAAATATTGTTGTATTTACACTCATAAAACTATGAGTGAGTAAAAGTATTTAGGTTCATAAAATTAAAATAGTATTAACATCATGATTCTAGACCAATAGATATTCATTATAGTTTCATTGACAGTTTGTTCATTATTTTTTGATACAGGTCAGCATGAAAGCTCATATTGTTATATTTTGTTGGCTTTCAGTGGGTTTTGACTATGAGTTTGTAAAACTATTAATTCCAGGTTTCTCCAATAATTCAGTTCAGTTCACTTTTATTTATACAGTGCCAAATCACAACAACAGTTGCCTCAAGGCGCTGTGCTTTGGTGACAGAGGGAAGGAAAAACTCCCTTTTAACAGGAACAAATCTCTGGCAGAACCAGGGAGGGGCAGCAATCTGCTGAGACCGGCCGAAACTTGCAAGCATCTTAAAATCAACTTAATCCTTCTTGTTGCAGAAACTTAAACATGCCACGGATGAACTTACCGAGGATCACTTCCTGATCACGAGAATGCTCCTCCTCTTTAACCTTCAGTTGTTTTCTGAGATCTAACAAAATGTAAAGTTAGCTTCAGGTGAAGAAGGTATCAGAGGTGATACTTGCTTTTAGAGATCAAAAGAAAAATACTTACTAGAAATTGTAGCAGCACTTTCTTTATCCTCAGCTGTCTTAACTTTTTCAAGGTTTTCAAGTTGGCTTTGCAGATCAGTGATGTTCAAAACTGAGGAACAGAGGAAGAAAGAATCAAAGCAGAACTTTTTTCCTTCATCATTTCTGCAGACACCATGTTCTTTCCTGACTTACTCAGGTTGGCATTTTCCTGGTTCTTCTCTTTCAGCTCATTGACATGTTTCTCCAGCTCTCCCTTCTTGGCTGCAAGCTCATTTGTGATCTCTGAGGTCATTTTAAAGAAGTTAAAACAGGTTTATTGGTCAGACACGAGAGATCATCGTACACGTTTTGTACTGTGAATTACAAAAGATACCAAGTTTCTTTATCTCTCACACTTATTTTGTTTTTTCTACAAGGATGGGGAAAACTAAAACTCTCACTTGCCCCACATCTGACTCCTCTGTACTTCTGCCTGCTCACTTGTATTTGCCACACTCTTATCACTAGAGGAAAAGCACAATGGGAGATACTTACCAGTTAGCTTACTGGTTTGTAGAGTCTCGCGGTTTGACAGCAGATTCTGCAGATGCTTCACCTGACTCTGCAGATTCAGGATTTTCAGTGCTAAAGCACAAAGAAGCAAAAAGAGTAGTTTGCTATAAGACATGCTGTGAGAGAATTACTTCATGACAGGGAAAAAGGCAAAAAGAAAGAAAATTCAACTTGTCAGTGAACCTTTGTGCTCACAGTTACTTCATACTCACTCAGTTTGGTGTTATCTCGATCACTGCTGCCTATTTGAGCCATGAGTGTGTCTATTCTGTTTTGTAGCGCTGCAAAAAACAGTGAATTGTATTACTAACATTTAGTCATCTACTATGACTTTGTGTCACCCTCAATCAGCACCTTAAACCTTAAAGTACCTTTTATCTGGTCACCAGCTGTCCCATTCACATCCTTGTTCTGCAGGTCCCATATCTCATTCTGGAGCTCAAGGATTTGTAAAACTGAAACAAACAAACATCTGATGAATGACAGGTAAGGTTTGGTTGTGTCATTTAGAGGGATATTTTAAATGGAAATGTGTGTCAGTGCAACCAAATTGCAAAAACGTGACAGAAACACATTCTTTTCCCAGTATGATGCTGATTTTACAAATCTTAGCTTCTTCTAAAATTATGCAAAGTTACACCCATCAAGATCATTTGTTCTTTAACACCATGCAGACATTAAGCTAACTGATTTATAGGCCTTTTCCAAGTAGATAAGGTCCCCATGTGAAAAGTATCCACTGCACAGAACGCACAGAGCAGGAAATCCTGGCCCCCAAATGTTGTCAATTGCCCCCAGAGGCTTAGTGTTGCAATAATAGGCAGCGGGTTGTCAGACTGTTTAAACAGTGTTGATCACAGAGTACAGCAGTGCACTCACCCACTCTCGGGTTGGCAATCAATTCCTCCATTTCTGCAGTCTTAGTAATCAGTTCATCTTGCTTCTTCTCCAGTTGCATCTGCAGCTCTGTGGGGAAGCAGAGAGAAACAGATATACGACTTGAGGTCATATTTGTTTCACATTTTTCCTCCAGGAAGTGTGCTGACTATGACAGCTGTTACTCACGTGAGATGATTTCTGGATCTTTTGAGTTTGAGATCTGCTCCTTCAAAGCCCTCACTTCAGCCTTCATGTTGATCACATTCAGGACTAACAGAGACAAACGTGAGCAGATATGACGGCACAGATTAGTTCTGAAATATAATGTGAGGATGTGAGCAAAAAAAAAGGAGAGACTTTAACTGCACCGCACTCACGCAGAGCAGTTTTGAAGTCTTTTGTCTTGTTCAGTTCTGCAATCTTATCTTCAACTTCAGTCTTCAGCTCTGATTAAAAAAAGAAAAAACAGTCATATCAAAAACTCAGGCTCAGACACTCCGAGGTCGAAGTCAGATTCGCAACCTACGGTTTCGTTGTTGTTCGAGTCCAGAGCACTCATGTGTCTTTAACAGCAGTTGCCTCTCCAACTCTGCTCAGTGAAAAAGGAAATCCAAGTTAACAAAAACTGTCTCTCTGACACAAACTGTTAGTTATGGATCTATTCAGAAAAACAAAATCAACTCACCTGCGAATTTATCCTTCATATGAGCATATTCCCTGTTTTTGTTTTGAAGAAACATCTGAAGGACTTTAAAAGAAAAGAAATGGACTGAAACACTATGGTGCAAATTAGCAACATGAACATCCTGCAGCAAACAGCTTTCGATCTCAGGCATGTGGCATGAATGTTGTTCCGTTCGCTCTATGAAAGCCCATTTCGCTTGAAGTGATACAGTGATTGTAGGACATACTTACGAGTTAATGTTAAAGAGGATTCTGCGTTATCGTCACGATTTTCTCTTTCAATTCTTTTGAGATGTTTGTAGAGTTCAGCGATAACCAGAACTACAGAAAATACAAAAGTCAGGGTGTACAGAATTATGTTTTAGGCTACTTCACAACAATCAAGATTGATCCAAGTGTTTTTCTGGACTTACTTAATCTGGCATTAGCCGGATTCTTGTTATTCAGCTCATTGATATATTTCTGTAGCTCGGCTCTCTTGAATGTAAGCTCATTTGTTAGAGTGTTCCTTATGATCACCATTCTTGGAGCTGAAAGTGACACACATGTCAAGTTGCTACAGTAACATTATGACACTCTATGCTAACATGAGGTCTTGGGTGAGATACTTACAGTTTGAATTGTAGGTTTGTGACAGCAGCGTCTCCAGGTGCTCCAGCTGACTTTGCAGACTGATGATTTTCAGAACTGAAAAAAAGGTTAAAAAAATGTAGCTGACTGCAAAAGATACGACTGCAGAGAGTTTTAGAGTTTCTCCCAAGACTCACTCAGTTTTGTGTTTTCACCGGCTCTGTTGTTGATTTCATCGATGAAGCCGTCAAGTCTGTCCTGTAACTCTGAGGAAAAGGAAAGTATGTATTTAGATTATATTTTGCAGGTTCTATCTTGACTTTAAACAACACTAACCCTCTTCTCGATCGCTTGTGGTTCCATTGGTGGCCTTGTTCCGAAGGGTCCATAACTCATGTTGCAGTTCAAGGATCTTTAAAACTAAAGCAAAGCAACGTGCAGTCCTTAAGTTAGAAAATGAATCTTACTGCAACAATGTCTACCAATTTTTGCTTTTTGTAAGCAACTCAGAATCTCATTGGTTCCCTTCTCTCCCTGTGCCACTCCAACAAGTCTCTACTTTACACTCTTTTGAACTAATGATTGATAAAACATAAACCCCCAAAACATCCAGCATATCAAGCAAAGCCTCTCTCAACATTATTCTTTCACTCTGCTGTTAATTCATTTTCTTTAATCTTGGTTTTTGCAGGTTTACATGTGACCTGAGTTAGATTTAACCATAAAAGCCATGATATGTGACAGTCCAGGTCTTATCTGTATTCAGTTTGTGTTTGACTAGCTTGTGATTTAATAGCACGACAGCTGAAAGCACAAGGACCTAGCAGGGCGACTATTGGTGGATTTGTCTAAAACAAGGATCAGAAAGTCGTCGTGCATTTCAGCCGTTTATTAGCTGCTTCACATTAAATGATTATACTTTACAATCCTTAACTCTGCTGGCCACTAGAAAGGAAGCAGTTTAAGGTTCTTCCACACTAGTTTTCCCTTTAAAACTGGATGTTATGTCCCTTTTTAATATGCACTTTATGTACATAACTGTGAATGTCAGTTTGAGTTTAGCTTAAAAACAATGGTTAGCGTTCAAACAATAATTCTGGTTCACATAAAGTAAATTCAAGAAACTCACTTGCTCCTGGGCTAGAAGTCAGACGTTCTATGTCTGCAATTCCTGAGCTCAGTTCTTCTTGTTTTCTCTCCAGTTGTTTCCGTAGCTCTGTTGGACAGAAATAGGGGTTATTAAGAGATGTTAAAAATATCAGAGAAATTCCCAGTTTTCCCAAGGAAAATGTAAAGATGTAATTTAATTGTCTCAAGCGCAAAACTGTTTAAAAATTGCTTTAAAAAAATCCACTTAATTAATAGAATAAACACAAAGGTATGGTATATATCTGTGGCCTCTGTCCCTCACCGGAGGTCAAGTCTTTGTCTTCTGAGAGAGAGATCTGATCCTTCAAAGCCTTGAGTTCATCATGCAGGCTCATCAGCTTTACAACTGGAGCAGAAAGCAACAGAAACATCACTACACAGATTACAAATTCAACACAACGAGATTACAAGCCGAGCAAGAGACACCACTGAACACTGCGTACGGCAACGTGACTCACTGAGAGCTGGTTGGAAGTCCTCGGTTCTGTTCAGTTCAGCAATCTTGCGGTCAAAGTCGATCTTCACCTCTAACAGAAACGAGACACATGCTTTAAAATCAAGCAGGAATAATCAGAGGTTGTAGCTGAAAGCCATTTTAAAAACTTACGCTCATATCTTTTCACAAATTTGGAATCTAATTCAGTCTTCAGTCGCAGTTTCCTCTGCAGCTCTTTTGTATAAAAGGATAAAATCAGGTACTTGAAGCTCTTATCAGACACAGTTTTCAAAATTTCTAAAAAAAACAAAACAAAAAACAAACTACACACCGAGCACTCACCTCTTATTTTGGCCTGAGCTTCGATGTATTTTTTTTCTGTAACTCCACGCACAGCTGCAGATTTAAAGTATCATAATGTAAGATCGCAATCTTAATGTCAAGGATTAAGAAAGTATTCTCTGCTCAGAAAACAAATGATGTTAAATGTTACACTGAATGTTTTTCTTAACACTAAAGTTAGTGCAGGTGGACTTACTGGTGGGCTGGCCTGTCAGGTGCTGCTTTTTCATTTCTTCTATTAGGCTGATGACTTGCACGACTGTTCAAAGACAAAGAAAACACCATTGTCTTGAGTGTTGGGCCTTAGCAGCACATTTATACGTGGTGAGGTTGGTGAGGTGATCATTCCGCCTCTCCTTTATACTTACTCTGCTGTGCCTTAACATACTCCACTGCTTCCAGTTGCCTCTGTAAAACATCATGCCTTTGCTTCTCTCTGTCCAACAAAACGCGGAACCCTAGGATGAATAAACAGCTATTAATGTTTCTACTGCAATTAGCAGATCATAATTTGGTAGTTCCAAATAAGACAAGTACATATGTGACTTGACTTCGTAGTGTAAAGTTTCAAAGATTTGTGCTGCCATTTACCTTGAATTTGGGAATCAGTGATGTTTTTGGCGTTTCTCATCAGCTGTTCAAAATGTAGCACCTCGGCCTGCACTCTCATAATTTGCAAGGCTGTCGAAAGAATCAAGAGGGTGTCGAGTTAATGGCGCAATAACTACACAAAGGACGTGCTCGACGCTGAATGCTCACTTACTTAGTTCCCTGTTGTTCTCGTCATCTTTCAGCTGTATAATCAGCTTTCTGAGGAGATCAATCTTTTGCATCCATTGCTTCCTGGCATCTGAATTTAAAAAAAATTAAATAAATAAAGTTAAAAAAAGAACAAACGTGTGCTGCTCCACAAAGGAGAGACGGGATCTACAACTCACCAGCGGCGAAGGTTTTGGATTTCTCAATAGCATCGATGATCATCCTCTTCAACTCTGCAATCTTCGTGCGCACATAAATCAGCTCCAGCACTGGACAGCCAGCAGAGAACGAAGTGTTGGGAAATGTTGAAAGACAAGCTTTTAACGTTATTACTCACACAAGAAATGCAGGCCTGTTTAGAAAGATTCACTTACAATTAGCAGAGTAGCCATCTCCTTTTTCTTGCAGCAGAACGATCTTCCTGTTGAGCTGTTCTTTCACTGAGCAGCAGAAGAAAATGGTCAGGATACAGAAATATAATAACATAATAAAATGAAAGAAGATGACCTTTTCTCCCAGTTTAGCATTATATTAATCTGAAATCTAAATAATTATTAAATATTTCATAACACCTATTGTAAATTCCTTAAGATTCTTTTTTTTTACGGAATATGCAGCCATGCATTAGATCAATTTCAGCAACCATCACTTCTTTGCTCCATTTTGTCCTGAGCAACCAAAAAGTTACCAAAAAACTAAATGGATTTCATATAACAGTGTGTTATGCAACCTTCACGCAGAAACCGACTGTGACCAAGAAAGAAGGAAGTGGGAGACCACAGTGCACAGCTATGCATATTTAGGAGTTAAAATGGTACCACAGGAAAAAAGCCACACTTGAGCTGTGGCTTCAAAAATGAACCGACTCCCAGAGATTGCCACATTGATGACACTTCTGCTGCATCTTTTTTTCCAAAGAGGTAGCCATCAGCTCCAGATCAATATGTTCGAATTACTACAGATACCAGACACAACCCTTTATCTCAACTTGGAGCTAGTACTAGAAATGCTCTACCTTGTAACCCCATAATGCGAGGTTTATATCCTCTCCTGGATCTTTTGCGTGGGGGTAAATGTATTAGCCACTAACCACAGTGCCACTCGCTACAGTAGCTACATTACAGCATTAAAAAGCATAGTTTCAGGTGCTGCTTTAGTTTAGTGTAGTTGACTGGGTGACCACTTGCTACAAGGCCAAATAAAGTTGCTCACCTTCAACTCTGTACCCAAGGCCTCTTGTTGTCTAACAAATGTTAGCCTGAACCTTCCTGCTGTTATACTGCAATGGGCCTAGCTTCACTCATGTTTTTTTTTTTTAATTCTTTATGTTTATACACTACTTTGCATTTAATGACGAGTTATTATTAATCTATGGACCCATCTCCAACCAGTCACGGCAGACGGCTGCCCCTCCCTGAGCCTGGTTCTATTAAAAGGGAGTTTTTTCTTCCCACTATCGCCAAGTGCTTGCTCATAAGGGGTTATTTGATTGTTGGGGTTTTCTCGCTATTATTGTACTGGAATATGCTCTTTGTTATTTACAACATGTCTGATGTTATATGAAGACAAACACTTTTTCATGAATAACTGACGTTTAAAGGATAAGAACATTTACGTTTTAATTGCAATTTATTTAGACAAAATACTAAGCTGTTGTTAGCAGCACTAATAGAGAATGTGAAATGAAGTTTAAAAAATTAGCCACCAAGGAATGGTGCTGAATGGTATAGTTACTGAACAATGTGTCAATTTCTCTGCCTGAACTGTGGACAAGCAATTTTCACATAATAAGCAAAAGTTTTTTTAGTTAAATCAAAGAGCCCGCAGTTTACCCAGAGTCATGCCAATTGAACTCCCAGAGTTTGGTTTTCCCCCTCTTGTTTCTGCCTCTTGTAAATCCCAGAGCTGATTCTGCAGGGAGATTATCTGAAGTACTAAAAGAAGAGAAAAAAAAAAGAAAAAAGAAAGCAATGAGCCATTTCCTTCTGCTTATATATGCATTCGCACAACACCAGCGCCTTCGGTTGACCTTCCGTTCCTCAAATGTGGTTCAAAAATACACTTACTGAGAGTTGCATTTGAAAGGCTTTGTTCAGCTTCCTGTATCTGATCTTTGAGTTCAGCCGTCGTCTTGTCCAGCTCTTTCTGCAGCTCTGCAGGAAACCAGTTTAGAAATGAAACATCTTCATTCAGTTTCTGTGGCTCCAACCAGAAGAATAGCGCTCAAGTGGAGGCAAATTCAAACATTTCTCAGTACTGCAAGATAAGCACATCATGCTAACGATAAAATAGCTCACCTGCGATTTCGTCTGCAGTTCTGTTAGAATTAGTAGCAAGCTTGGTCTTCTCCTGCAAAGTGCTCACCTCCCCGGTGAGTGTCATTATTTTAAAAACTGAAAGAAAGAAAACACTTTTACATAAAAGCTGAACTGTGCAGCGTCATATGATTAAAATGTAATTAATTATGATTCAATCGTGACCTGTGCGAGAGATTTTACTGTATTTCCAAAAAACTTACGGAGAAGTGTGTCACCATCAAGCTTCTCCAGCCCCTGCTTCATTTTGAGCTGCAGATTGGGTTGGTACGCTGTCAGGAAATCACACATGCATTTTAACTTTTGCTGATATAAACTGTTTCCAACTGTTACATATGTGCAAGGAAAGGCTTACTGCCAGATGTAGACGATGCTGTTGACATGCATGCAGCAAGTTCCACTTTCAGCTGTATGACCTCTGTCCTCAGCCCAAAGGCCTCGTCACCTGTAAGAAAGTGTACAGGTTGCAGCAAACCAAAGCAAAAGTAGGCCTACTTAAACTCTTCGCTGGATGTATGCTCACCGAGTTGGTTGTAACGGTGATTCGCCTGCTGAAGTTTCCTTTGTAACACCTCCAAAGTTTCTTTCACACCTGATAAGGAAATGTTAGGGTGACACGAATGAGGACCCACACACACACAGCTTTCACCTTAATTGTTCGGTACTTTTCACCAACACTGTCCCAGCTTTCCATCTGCCACCCACACACAACACCCCACCATCTTTTATAGGGGAGACATGATCAGATGATGGAGCTCAGGTGTGTGTCAGCCTCCCCTGACACCGTAACCTGAACCCACTGCTCCACCCCTCCCCTGCAGCTGAGCCACAAACCCCAACCTGCCACTGTTAGCAATGCCACATATTAAAGCAGCAAGATAAACAGTCTCACTGCTCACCCACTGTTTGAAACTAAGTATTTCAGCTCCTCCCCTCCTGTCTCTTTAAGACTAATTTCTTCTGACTGGCTGCGCTTTGCAAACAGAAGATTTGAACAGAAGGTGAGTAGAGCATGTCTGCTCACAGCCAGAGCTCCACCTGAGAAGGCCAAATGTGGGCAACTGGCTAAAACAGAGGGCTTAGAGCAGTCTGAAGTTTTTGGCTCATTTGAAATAACTTCTCTATAAGCTCTTTTTTTTTCTTACTTTGACCATGTTTAATGTATTAAAATATGTATGTAATGATTGATTGAGCCAAACACTAATTTTTTATGTAAATTTAAGAAGTTCATCCAATATCCTTAAAAGTTGCAGAGGTAATATAACAACAACAACAACAACAATAATAATAATAATAATAATAAGCAGACATCTGCCAAGGCAGCTCACTTTCTGTGCAGTATTTACTCTTAAGGGAAATTGTATTGTATTTTATATATATTTAATTTCTTTGTACTTTTTAAATGTACTTTAAGAAGTTAGTAGCGCAGTAAAAACAAGAGCAACGTGCAGCCTTTTGTTATTCGCCCTGCTGAAACCCATTTTAATGTACTCGACATGATTTTGTTTATAATTAGTTTTACACAATTATATATTATATATAGTTACTTATAATTATTTTTTTATGTGGCTATAGCATGTGTGCAACATTCATTTCAGTAAAATTTGTTTAAATATTTAGTAAATAAATATCAAGTGGAAAAGAGCTTTTGCACACGAGTTGATTTTGTTTTCAAAAAAGTATTCGGGAACATTGTACTTGTATTCAAATGGTTATAACCTGTTAAAAATCCCCATACTGGGGTGGCTGTAGCTCAGGTGGCAGAGCAGGTCAGCCACTAACCAGAAGGTCGGTGGTTCGATCCCAGGCTGCATCCTGGCTGCATGCCAAATATCCTTGGGCAAGATACTAACCCCAAGTTTGCCAACTGGTGGTGGTCAGAGGGCCCCGTGGCGCCAGTGTCCGGCAGCCTCGCCTCTGTCAGTGCGCCCCAGGGCAGCTGTGGCTACAACGTAGCTTGCCGTCACCAGTGCGTGAATGTGTGTGTGAATGACTGAATGTAGTGTAAAGCGCTTTGGGGTCCTTAGGGACTGAGTAAAGCGCTATACAAATGCAGGCCATTTACCATACTGTATATCATTTCCTACACGCCTATAGAAAGTAGTAAGAAACCTAGTTTTAAAGAGCTCTATATAGGAATATTATCAAGTCAATCTATTGACCTTAAAGTTGGGGTTAGAGGTCAAATGTGACAGGAGGTAAACATTTAAATGTAAGATTTTAGATTTAGTTTTTCAAATCTTTATTTATCTGACTAATAATGTAGAGATTACACTAAGACACTCGCTCAGCTAAATACTGGCATCACAGTTTGAATCTGTGCAATGCACGCTCAATAATCCAGTTATTAAATCCCAGAAACTTGGTTCTGTTCATGTGGATGCAGCATATTCAGTGGGAAACATTTTTTACATCACTTATCCGAGTGAGTTGGACGTCGCTTGGATGAGTGAATAAAACATTCCAGATGAGCAGAAGCAGCTTACTGGGAACATGTTTTTGGATTGTAGTGTATTGTTAAATAAAATAGATGTAAAAAAATAAAAATCACTTACCGGTGCAAGTTTTGATGACAATTGACTGTAATAAAACATTTGATCTTAGATCAGTTGAAGATAATATAACAAGTTTCTTATATCTATCGTAAGTAAGTAAGTAAGTAAAACTTTATTTATATAGCACCTTTCTAGATAAAAGATCACAAAGTGCTTCACACAAGGATAACAAAGCATAAAACAAAACAGACGACAGTTAACAAACAGCAATTCTAAAAAGATGTGTTTTTAGTTGTTTTTTGAAAGAAGCTACTGAGCACAGAGATCTTATGCTCAGTGGGAGATACAGATACAGATATACTAAAACTTTTATTGATCACAACATTTATCGAGATAAATCACATGATGTAATAACTATTTAATGATTACTACTTACCGTCACATTTACAGGGCTGTTTTGAAAGTCAGTGGATAGCTAAGGTAAATGCACAAGAAGAAATGTATCATTAGTAGTAGCAGCCAAACTTCTGCTCATCTCTAAACATTTGCTAAGTCACATTTTCTGGGACTTACAAGGATCCTGGAAAGGATTGTGTCCAAGTCGGGATTCCCAGTTCTGACCAACCTGTTGTGGCCTGAAATAAACGAGAAAACATAAATATTTACTTTTTTGTTGTTGTTGTTGTTGTTGTTGTTACAGGTATTTGTTTAATTCAACCCCTATTAACTGACAATAAAAAGGACGATATTATTTCCCCCTACCAGCTCTGGGATCAGAAGTGCAGAGTACACAGGTGAAGAGGAGCGGAATCCAAATGAATTGAGAACCACCAGCCATGGTTTTTCCTTCCAAAACCTTCCTCTGCTGTCAGCAGCAGTCAGCGGGCCTTTTATAAGACTCTGACTGATCAATGTCCAGGGGTAGTGATGACTTCCTAGAAGAGGCGGAATAAATAAATGACTTAATTTGCTGTAAATGGCAAAAGTTAAACACAGCCAACTGTGCACACAAATAATAACAAATAAGCAACCGTGTCTTTAAATTAGATTCCTCGCCAAAAAGGAGAGACCTTATTGTCTGATTTATTTTGACATTTTTATTTGTCTCAAACAAACATTGCGCTAAAGCTCAAATAAAAATCAATCACGTTCAAAGTACCAGTACGAGAACTTTTAATCACATACAGTGCCTCAAAGTCTGTGAATTGCTTTGGATTTTTCTCAATTTCCACTCTTAGCTTACAACCCCCCCTCCCGAAGATAAAAGATAAACTTATTAAACCTAAATAGATAAACATACAAACGTCATCATCTTTGTTTGAGGAAATGAGTAATGCATATGTGCAAGTAAAGAAAATAGGGGAACCTTTGCTTTATTTTTGCTTTTGCAAACATAATTAAAATGATATTTTTTTATTTTTTTCCACCCTGTCTTGTCAGGGAGCTTTTGCAATCAGACACATTTAGCTTTTCCGAGATTAGCGCTGCAAACTGGCTCCTCTCGTTCATGTGTTTCTGCAATTACACATTTAAGTGTAACTCTGGGCTCGGTTTCCTCATATGAACTGGTCGCTTTCAGATCCTTCCCCAACATTTGAATTGGAAGTTCAGGACGTTGACTTGGCCTTTCAAAAAAACAAAACAAAACAAGATTCTGTGTAATGGATTTTACGCATTTGTTTCTAAAGCAGAAACGCCTGTAGGTTCAGTTGGAGCTACTTTTATGACCACCAACACGGTGAAGGTGCAGGGTGAAGCATTGAGGTGTGTCTCTGGTCTATGCTGAAATGACAGATGATGTGATTTTTTAAAATTACATTTGTGGTGGAATGCAGGATTTATTGTTCCATCAATAACAACATCCAGCCTAACCTGGCACCGTAATGCTGGAATGAAATGCTTTCCTTTCTCTAAACTCATTTGAAGTTAAAAGTCAGATTTTGCTCTCATCCCTCCACAAGACATTGTTCTAACAGTCTTCTGACTTGATCTTTATTGAACTGCACAGGCAGATGACCTCTTGGAGAAACTGACTCTGTTCCTGCGTATGTTGGTGGGATTCTTCATATGAACTATGCATCAGGTTCATCACCAACATTTCATGGATTAAGGTGAACCAAATGACTGGGTCAATCCAAAACATTAACCTGACTGTGACTATTTGACCTTTCCTTGGTAGAAAAACAACATGTGTTATGTAAGGTGCAAGACTCGCTTCCTCTTATATTGAGATACAAAATGTGCTGACATTTTTGTTATGAAAATGTTGCTATATTTCCAAATGGCCTGCCGTTGATAATGAATGTTTGTGACCTCCTGAACTGCAACACTCCTTACAGTTTGAGTGAACGTTCTTGGTCAACCACTTACCCCCCAAAAATCCTGGGTATTAGTTGACTACCTAGGAGTGGTTGACTCCCCAGGAGTGGTTGACTCCCTAGTCTTTCTTAGGAAGTGGTTGACAAGGAAGTTTGAAAAAACTTCCTCTATTATCTGTGCAACCTGACTGTATATTGGTGTAGTCCAAATGTGTTAACCTTGTGACCTTTTCCAGCCTGATGAGAATCAAAAATGCTAAAGTGTGAAGTTTTCAGGAGTCTTGTGTTTTTGTGCCATAATGCACTTCTGACCAAAACGTGCAGTGAAGATTAAACCCAGATAAATCTGCTCATCCCAGAGTTTAACATACTTCCCTCCCTCAAAGGTAAAATGCCTAAATTTTAAAAAATGACCACAGAAGAGTCAGCATACTTCACTTTCCTCTGGATTGGGTAAGTCTTAAGTGACCCAAGTCCTACGAGATGCTTCTATAACCCTTTACGGCAGCGGTCCCCAACCTTTTTTGGGCCACGGACCAATTTAATGTCAGATGATATTTTCACAGACCGGCCTTTAAGGTGTCGCGGATAAATACAAAAAAATAAAATGATACGACCAAGACAAAAACTGTGTATTTTGTAAATATAATAATAAACGCGAATTCATTGTGTAATTGTGTAACTTTATTGGCAGCGTACTTCTTAAATGTCCTTTAATGCTCTCTGGTCACTATGGTAACGCATAAATATTTCTTTCAAAATAAGACACACAACTAAAACACAGGAAAAGACCCAGGGAAACCGAGTTAATGATAAGAACCCTTAAAACCGCTAAACTTCACACCCGAGCTTCAACTCTCGCGGCCCGGTACCAAACGACACACGGACCGGCACCGGCCCGTGGCCCGGGGTTTGGGGACCGCTGCTTTATGGTGAAGATCAGCAACTCAGAAATAACCTTTGTTCATGCCATGATTCACTTTCACAAACATGCATCGTGTAGATCAGACACTGAGAAATCTTCTTTAAATAAAAACAAGACACTCACTCTCACATCTGTCATCGCTGAAAGCACTAGACTGGGAGTTCGTCTTCATATTAACATGTTTAATTTAATTTAATTTAATTTAATTTAATTTAATTTAATTTAATGTAATTTAATTTAATTTAATTTAATTTAATACAAAGAAAACAGAAAACCCCAACATCATATGAGGTGAGGGGTGGAAGACAGAACAAGATGCACTATGGAAAAGAGTCCGGGATTAATAATGACTAATAATTAAATGCAGATTGGTGTGTAAAAACATAGAAAGTAGAAAAAGGTGAGTGAAGAACAAACAGTGCAATGTGGGAATCTCCCAGCAGCCTAGGCCTATCGCAGTGTAACTAAGGGAGAATTCAGGGTCACCTGATCCAGTCCTTTATCAAAAAGGAAAGTTTTATGGCTAAATTTAAAAGTAGAGAGGATGTCTCTCTCCCAAATCCAAAGTGAGAGCTGGATCCACATAAGAGAGGCCTGGAAGCTGAACAACTAATCCCAAAGGTTCAGCTTCTAAGGTCAGTAGATCCAACTGACCACTCTGAGGATCCAAAAGCAGAAGCATGAAAACTGACAGCATTGAACTGAAAACAAGCTGTTTATTTAGGCGAGCAACACAAAAAGGGAAACCTAAAACTTGGAGACTCACTAAAATGATCTAAACAAGGGGAGACAGCAACTATATATACAGACGACGAGACAAGGGAAGCAAACACTAAAAGCAAATCAAAGGGAAGGCTAACTCTTTTAGAAATAAAGCAGAAGGTGCAACAACTAAATAATGGATGAACTTAATACAGGAGACTTGGCACAAGGGAACAGAAAGAACACTGAGGGAAGAATTAAACTCAAACATCATACCAAATGTGGCAGGTTTGCAGTTTATTAGGATTAATTTCTGCAATGTAGACATCTATCAGGATTTTCTCCTAAATGCACACGTAGAATGAGGAATGGAAGACAATAGAAGCTTGTGACATTTGCCCTGAGGCACTATCAAAGCACGGCCCACTGATGAGAATAGTTTGGCTGATTAAATACAACTTCCAGTCTGAGTTCGGTTATCTCTTCCGCTCAGCTTTTGTAATAATGCCAGTAATCAAGAATCACTGGGTTCATGCCCCACTACCAAGTGACAAAAAGAGCAAAGGTCAAACTGTAGACGTAACTTGTGACCATGTCGACCTGTGCGAGTGAGTTCAGGATGATATGCTGTACAACCATGTTTGCAATGAAAAGAGAAAACTTGTGTTTCTGTAGGAAACTCTGTGAGTATTTGGGAAATACAGAGTTCAACCGAATGTTTTCCCCATTCTCGTTGGATGGCAAGTTTTTAATGATGCCCCTGATGATTCCAGTGGGCAGTCTGAAGGTCATGATGAAAAGGTATGCCAGATGGGTTTGAAAAGAAGTCAAGCTCAGAGTTTGTAGGAGGGACCCACACAACTTCAGGATTTCACGACTGTGAGGAAGAATGGACAAAAATCACACCTGAGCAAAGCATGCCACTAGTCTATATGCGGGAGGCGTCTTCAAGCTGTCACCAACAAAGACAACCTTGTACAAAGTTAATTTCAATAAGTGCGTTCAATACTTTTGTTCCTGTGTCATTTCTCACTATTACACAAAACTTAATTCATGAACATCTATTCTTTGATTAATTTGCATGTGTGGATTGGATGGGCTGTTACCAACATCTGGTGAGAATTTCATGTCAAGAGGACTTTTAGAAATATATTTACTTACACAATTGCTGACATGTTCAATAAGTACTTACCTGCTGTGCATATTTCAGAAGCTGCAATGTGAAATAAACAAAGACTCTACAAGTAATTAGAATTTTGGCAACGCTGCAAACAGTTTGATAAAAGTAACCCAGTTCAACATGAGAAAATATTCCATAATACTACAAAGTGTAAAGTGTTATTGATAGGGTTTGTGACGATGTTGCTCTTTTTACTACAAACTATTAACTGAAAATAACTGGTTCTTGGTGAAGATATGCTGGGAACTGACAGGTTCTGACAATGATTTACTAGATCTGTTTTAACCAAGGTCATTTTAAGTGAACTGACAACACTTAGCAAACATTCAGAAACTAAGTGCAAACAGTGTCATCTAGTCCAAAAAACAACTTTGAAATTAAAAACCAATCCAGAGAGATCTTTTTACAGTTTAGCTACTGTAAATGTATTTGGTGATGCAGAAATGAGAACGTATACGAACTCTGAAAGCTTGTGAGTTTATACGTACACTGGAATCAACACCAAGGAAAGTTTAAGTAAAAGACATAAAGAAAGCTGAAAAATGCTGGCTCATGAAAAGAGCAGCAACTACAGAGATGATTACCATGATTTGATAACAAATTAATATCATCTCAATGAGGCTGACAATCAATTGTACACAGACACCAATATTTCTCCTTTTAAAAGGACACAAACAATTTCGAGAGCAAAAGTCCTTTAATGACACAGTTTTGATTTATGAGCACTCGTTTCTATTTGAATATATTTGTGCTAACAATACCGCTGTTCAGAATATCTTTTAGCTTTGTCAACTCAGAAATTGGATGGTGTAAGTTTTAGGAGACGAGGGCGCCATGGTGTGGTGTTGTGCAGTAAGAACATTCACCCTGTCTGATCTATCATCAAGTAAACTGTCACCAACTGTAGCGCGCGGCAAACACTAAAGCGGTCGCGCCAGAATGTCACGCTAAAAAGAAAGATTCTTTAAAATACAAGGGGGAGCAAGCGAGTCAGATACCACGGGCACAGAGAGGAAGCAGGTCTGATCAGAAACAGTTTATTACTAGGCCAGGGAGCACAAATAAAAACACCCTTAAAATGTATGTAATAAAATGTTTGCTCTCTACTAAAAACAATTCTAAAACCCGTAAAACTACCATTTTCTACATTCACTAAAACCCCCCCTGCTATAATTAGGCCACATGTTCATTATGGGTCCATCAGCAGGCCAGGAATTCCTCCTTTAGAGCAGAGTCCACGCCAGCCCCGTCTTCAGCAGACAAGAAAGAGCCACCCATCTTCTTGTCCTTCCGCTGGCCCATCACTTCCCAGCCCGGCTTGCGTTCTGCACCCGAATCCATGATGTGACCACCGCCACAGCTCCCCTTGCGTCGGTGTCCTGCAACATAACAAATAGGGGCCAGAACAATGGTCCCAGAAGCGGCCCTGGCTCATGGCCATGGTGACCCTCTCCCAATCCAGCTGCACCCAGTAAACAACAGTAGAGACCCTACTCACAAATGCAGGCAGAGGTAAACCTCTGCCCTGCTGCCAATCACACGCGTTGTCTCTTACTGTTGCCGTTCCATGAGGTCAGGACTTGGTCGCCGCATCACACTGGCCATCTCGCATTAACCTTCCAGTCTGGGGCCTCTCTCCTTCAGTGCTCAGCTAGCCTGTTTTTAAAAGGTCTTTACACAGCTGATAGGCCACCTCTGGACACACCCCTGCCTCAGCAGGTGGTCCCTATCAGCTAATTTGTCCCATGTGCAGCCAGTCCACAGTGGATAAAAACCATGTCACATAAAACACTAAAAACCATGCAATAGAAACAGAATAAAACCATGCAAATAAAACACTCATAAATAAACACTAAAAATCAGAATAAAAACAATATACAAGATAAATACAAATTTCCACTGTGTGACACCAACTAAACCTGAAATCTACAAATCTATTATCTGACCACAATGGCGCTAGAGTGAGCTGCAGCGTGGCCTTTTTATGTTTCAGATATGCAGTTTTAAGTGTTACCTTAGTTATTTACAGCTACCAGCAGCATTTCCTGCAGAAAACTCCTTTCCTTGCAACGTGTCTTGAAGCTAACTTTTGTGAACTTCCATCATAGCATGGAAGGTAAAGGCAAACTTCCATTGTCGATGACTTAACAGCAAACACGTAAACTGAATTATCAAGAGAAAACAAAATTAAACATTAGTATGAATCATTCTAGCTCTTGTGAGTCTAACCACTGAGGGACTTCTCCAGCACACTGATCTAGAGTGGTAAACCAGATAAACCAAAAAAACCACTAGTGAGCTGTCTCTGTGTGAGGTGGAAGATAACATAATCTGTGTCTTAGTCAACACGTTCAAAACTAACAAAATAAATCAAAGTATGGATCAAAGTACGGATTACTTTGATTACTTATAGGATTATTGTAAGTATCTGAAAATGAATGGAATGGAATCTGCAGCAGTACAGCACGGCAGAGATAAACGGATATGAACATTCACACCAAAGTAAAAGAAATCTGCAAAACTGCATCTGTGAAAGAGACAAACATCGTTTGAGGTTATTGCTTCCATCGATGTGGTTCACTGATACAGGTTCTTCCCAGAGAAGCGACCAGAGGCCTAAATGGGTGACTGTTACATTTACAAGAGCCTAACTTGTAATTTGAACAAAAGAATTTCATGTTTCTATCATGAACAGAATTAAATCGTGAAGGATCTGCATAAAATTCAACAACTTAATTTATTCTTTCTTTATTCCATCTCCTATGTGGGTATGAGTTTCTGTGAGTTTGACTCTATTTATGTGTTTTGTTGTATGTATATCGTCATAAGTCGTGTTTTGTGAGTGTTGTTGCTCATCACAATAATCAGATAGGCTCATGGAGTTTTTAAAAATTGCAGACCTAATATTGCACTCTCCTTGGCATATCAAAACACTAATATGACAAATATTTTACGTACTGTCCCGTCATATGTACTAAATATACTAAAGTAGTGCGCGGCGAGGGTATTCTGGGGAACCTGGACGATGCTATTCGAACGAAGGCGGAAGTTAGTACCAGTGAATCCTCTTGCATTCGTTTTTTCGTCTGTCATCTTCTCGCGATATTACAGTAGACTGACTCTGGTTATTGCAGAGTTGAGTCTCTACGGTAACATAAAAAAGCAGTGCCGACGAGCTGCGGTACTATCGCTCATACATTTCCTTGTCCTGTTGTTATTGAGACCTGACAAACCAGATCCTGCGCGTGCTGTGTTGGACGGTATCATTTTGTACAGGTGAGCGGCTTCGGTTTATTTATTATTTATTTATTTTTATTTATTTTTTAACTATGTGCCCTGCTAAATAACTGCACAGGACTGACACTCATTATGATTTGAGATAGCGTGACAGCGAGCGCGTTACATATAATGTTAATGCACGTCAGCTAGAAGCGCTTTGACATCGTGTTGAACTTTCCTCTGGTAAAATCAACATCAGCTTCGTTGTTAGATTTTTATTGTGCTATCAGGGTAAAGTTCATGTAATCCTTGTGTAAATAGTCTTTTAACTTATTGCAGATATATCAGAGTGATTATCTATTATGATCATCAGTGTTGGTTGTAAACTTCTTATGCAAAATGCTGTGTAACACTGACTGGACCTAAAACACTCATGTAAGGAATGATGTCACTGCTCTTACTTCCAGATAAACTCTGGACAATGGTTCTATTATGCAATCATGTTGCAACGCCTTTTAAAGTTCCAGCTGACTTTTGATCACATGTAACCCTTCATGTTGGGTATTTTGCTCACATGGTGTAATGGATCTCACTGCTGATTGTATATGGTGTTATTACTGCTCCTCCAGACAATGAAGATGTCCCTGTCTGGCTGGGTATGCGTAGTAACTGGTGCCTCCCGGGGCATTGGCAGAGGAATAGCTCTCCAGCTGTCTGAAGCAGGAGCCACAGTCTACATCACAGGACGCCAGGAGAAGACTCTGAAGCAAACTGCTGCACAGGTTGGCTTTTAACACTTGGAGTCTTCTAATAATTAGACAGGGAGGCATTTTTAAATGCAGCTTATTGCATCGTGGCTTTCATTTGTGATTAGTGGAGTAAGTTCCGAAGTAAAGCAGATCCTCTCCTCATGTCCCATATCAGTGTTGCAGCTAAAGTGTTGGCTCGTTCTGCTATGTTATTATTTCTTCACTGTTGACACAGGTGACGGAAAGGGGTGGGAACTGTGTACCAGTTATCTGCGATTCCTCAAAGGAGACCGACATTCAAGGACTTTTTGAGCGAATTAGACAGGAACACAACGGCAGACTGGATATACTGGTTAATAATGCCTATTCTGGAGTACAGGTTGGATCACTAATGCTTTATCATTTCCTGGTAGAATTATTTCAGAAGCACCTAATATGGAGTAAATCTGTGTGAATGAAATGACATATGTGCTTTACTTTAACAATACACATGGTATTGTTTCAGGATATCTTTGAGAACATGGGTAAGAAGTTCTGGGAAACTGAGCCTTCTATTTGGGATTCCATCAACAACGCAGGCCTCAGGTACTGTGTGCTTGGGTGTTTAATCATGAGATAACTCACTCATTGTGAGCAAACGGCATCCTATCATGTAACAACTGGCCAATACACAGATGCTAGAAAAAAAAGTTATATATTAATATTATTAATAATATTTGCAGGTCATTAAATGAAATAAGTATTTGATCCTCAAACAAAACTTGAGTACTTGGTGGAGATATCCTCGTTGGCAAGCACAGCAGTAGGATGTTTCTTGTAGGCAATCACCAGGTATACATGCATCTCAGGAGGGATTGTGGCCCACTTCTCTTTACATAAATGACTTCTGTTTGGCAACTCAGAGCTTCAGCTCAGAGATCTGGCGACTAGCTAAGCCACTACATGACCTTAATGAGCTTCTTATTTAGCCGCTCCTTTGTTGGCTTGGTGGTATTTGGATCATTGTCATGCTGGAAGACCCTTCATGACCCATCTCCAGTGTTCTGTCTGAGGGAAGGAGGTTCTCATTCAGGATTTTACAGTCCACGGTCGTGTCCATTGGCCCCTCATTGCAGTGAAATTGTGTTGCATGTTTAGCAGAAAAACAGCCTCAAAACATAATGTTTCCACCTCTGTGTTTTTGACCATTGGTCACCATCTCTTTGGGTCATATTCCTTATATTTCTTCCTCCAAACACAACGAGACCTTAAGTTTTGGTTTCATCTGACTACAGTACTTCCTCCAAGCTTTATTCGACTCATTAAGGGCCTGTTCATGTGCATTCTTGAGAAGGGCAGATTTCAATTCATTACAGCATAGTGTGTTACCATTGGTGTTCTTGGTGTCTTTTGAGATGATCCACTACATGATCCACTACCATACTGTTCAACTCTTTGGAAGTGAGCAAACTTACAAATTCAGCAGGAGATCACATGATGCACACAATCCAACCTAGAAATGTTTTGAAATAAAGTAAATGGTAGAAATATTATATGACTTACTTAAGTTTTTCGACATCTGGCAGGGGGCACTATTTTTTCTCAGTTTACGCAGCCCGGTTGATGGTGGCTCAAGGTCGGGGTTTGATAGTGACCATTTCTTCTTTTGGAGGGATGCGGTACCTCTTCAATGTGCCATATGGTGTTGGTAAAGCTGCTGTAAGTTGTCTTCTTGATCAAGTATAACATGTGTTACTGATATTACTTTCTGATTGTTTTAAAGGCCTTTATTTTTTGTGGTTTGTTTCCAGTGCGACAGACTGGCATCAGACATGGCTATCGAGCTACGCCGCAGAGGTGTAGCTTCTGTCAGCCTGTGGCCAGGAGCAGTAAAAACAGAACTGGTGTCTCAGTTGATACTGGCGAAAGAGTCACCGTTAGGTGACCACGCTAAGGTAGATTCCCTGTAATGAAAACTCCTTTTTCTGGTTGCTGCTTCAATTGTAAGCTAAAATTGTGATTTTTGCTTTTTTTCTCCCCAACAGTTTAAAAACGTTTTTGCTGATGGAGAAACCACAGAACTGAGCGGGAAGTGCATTGTTAACATGGCAAAAGGTACAACTTCAGAAATTGGTGCTCACCTCACAGTGAGACTGTTAAATAGACACCAACACCCCCCTGATGGACATTAAAATGTCTTTCTGGGAGTTATTGTTTCTAAGAAACAGATACCTTAAATGCTGAGGAATTCTCAAGAGTATTTTGAAAATGCTTTTTTAAGTGCACGCAAAGAAACCATATTTTGATTTCCTTTTTGCTCGACAGATAAAAATCTGATGTCACTGACTGGGAAAATACTCATGACTTCTGATCTGGCTAGACGCTATGGAATAAAAGATGTCGATGGTAAATTTGTGATTTCTTTTTTAAGATTTGAATATCTTAAACTTCACTACTTGGCGCTTAACAAATCTATTACGCAAGCTTTATGTCCCAGTTGCTCTAACATATCAGTACTGGTAATAAGCAAAATAATTTTGAATGTATGGTCAATCCACCAGTGTGCACAAGCTCTTTAATCGAAATTATATTTGTAATGCTAAAATATAATTATTGTTGTTGTCCATTAACTTTCAAGTGTACTGTTTTACAAAAATCAGAAAAAAATGTAAAGCACATTATTATTTTTTGATTAACAGGCCAAATTACAGTTATTTACTAACATCCTTAAACCGGAAAATTAGTTTTAGTGGTTGAATGTTATGCTTGATTCATTTCTCAGAGAAACCCAGTGTAGCGGCTCAAATTTGGGAATAAACACGTGAATTATTTTGTTATTTTCTTAATAGATACTATAATTTATTTGTTTTAAGCAAGTTTTAGACAGACTTTTAAATATTGGTGGTCTAATAAAGTTTGTTAAGAACCGTACTCTGAACTTATTGTCTGCTTACCCACAGGTCGAAGTGTAGCTGATTACACTTCGATTAAATACCTCCTGTCCCAGGTCCCGTACCTGTCCTGGCTGTCGGTTGCCGTGCCCTCATTCGTACGTGTGCCACGCTTCGTGATGACCCTGGCATTCAGCCGGTTCTAAAGATTTCCTACATAAACTCTCTAATGGCAGTGTTGTCTACAGTCGCCATTTTGTTTACTAACAGTTGAAGGGTGACGAAAGACTTAAGATGAGCACTTTTTTTTAAAGGAATGTTTATCATTTTACATATGTGCACACACACAAACACACACCCCTGTGTAAGTACTTAATGACTGTGATTCTGTGGTGGTGGAGGTAAATGAAGTAAACACAAAGGATGTCCCTGTATAATTTTCCTCAGATGAAGACACAATGTGAAAACCTGAATGTCTTATTATAACTACATATTATGGTTTTCTTATATATTACGAAGCTACGAATGATATTTCAGAAACACAAAAGTGTATTTTGCACTTATTTTTGCATTTTATAAAAACTGTATTACGTATCCTGGACACACAGTACTGCTAATACTGCACCTGGCTGGCTAAATAACAACCAGTTAAATAAATGAGTGCTAACCTGTTGCTGTTTATTTGTTTTGTTTTGTTTTTTCAAAATATCAAAATTGAAAAAAATCTAAATTGAAGATTTTTTACTTTGCAGACATTTAAAAGAATGACGGCTTAAGTTATCTTGGCTTTACTTGTCCGATCTAGCAGTTATGCCCATCTTTTATAATATTCATGCTTCCAGGTCTGACAAGTGAAGCCAATGTGGAAATGCCTTTCTTTCTAATAACCAAGAGGGGGCAACTGTTACATGTAGAAAAACAAGACCTCCTGTGATATTCTATGGTAATACAGCCATTATTTCTGTGCCTATGTCAACACTCTCATGGTCCCCAGTAGAATCACAGAGCAGGACAAGCTAGTTTTTAAAATGTGATTGACTCGTCATTAGCCAAAGAACAAACAATCTCCCTAAATTTCACAGTCAGATCCATCCTGTGCTCATGATGCCTAGAAATGCACAGCTTGAGATTTCACAGCAGGACTTCCCTAAGCAAGGACTGATACCACAGAGCTGTGTACTTCCAACTTGTCTGCAGTTGCAAGTATCACAAAGATGGTTTTGAGAATGTTGAACAGTGTTTCTGTGAATTTCATCTGTGGACAGACTTTATTAACACAACAGTGTTACAAGGTGAAGTCACAAAACATGAGAGGTGTGAAACGTGACAGCTGTTCAGAGATAAGTGTAGACCATGAACTCAAGAACTTCAAACAGGTGTACATCAGTAAGATAAACCCTTACTTCTGTTGTTAGTTTGCAAGTTCACACAGAGCCACTTTAAAAATATATATACCGAAATCAAGTCTGTGCAATGCGAGTTGTTGTGTTTACTAAATATTAAATATTCAGTGAACTGTTCTACTTCATTTCTCTGTGTTTCATTAACTTGTAAACCCACAGATGGCCAAAGGTAAGGATCCTAAATAGTTTGTAAAACCAGGATCAAAGAGCCGGTTCCTAACGGGAGTTCCTGGAAGAGAAAACAAACAAAAAAAGATGCTGACGAGAAGTACTCCAAGTCAGGCGGGGACAGTTGATGGATGACCAAATGATCAAATTTACCAACATGACTGTAGTCGGAAATCACATCAAATTTTTGTCGGCCGCTTAGGACAGCGGGAGGGCGGAGGGGAGCTCTGATGGGTGGTTGACGTGAAACTGTTTAGCCTACTGTTAGTGATATATTATACAGGCGCTTCCTCCCTCCAATCCAAGGCCTGCTTTTCATGGACTGGCACACCCACACCCCGCCGTCACTGTTGGAGAGTCAGTTGGGCCTTCTGGTCTTCCTGGTCCTCAGCTCCGCCTCGCCTCGATCTGGCCGGACAGGGGAACCACTTCACAGTTAAAGAACAAAAGCAACAACGGGAGGACCGAGTGGCACGAAATAACGGCGGCTCGGATTGAGAGTCTCACGGATTGGAGCTTTGTGCCGTCTTCGGCAGGAATTAGCCGACGACTGAACTCCTAGAAAACGCGACAAACTTGGTCGCCTCGGATCTTTGTATCCTGACCGTAATCCGTCGAGGTGCTTGATAAATAAGACAAGGGTCAAACAAACGGACGGACGGTATCGTTTCCCAGCTCTGCCTTTAAACTTCGGCCATATAAAGCGAGGTGCCAGGGGGGAAATCTGATTTTCTTCGCTTTTCCTTTCGCTCAAACGGACCTCGGGAATAAAAAAAAGGGCTTGTTTGGCATTTTTTGGTAAGTTTATTTTTATGTTTCACTGAAGCGTGTCTGACGACGAAGTGCGCCTGTGCAGTGTGAAGCGTTTTAGTTAGTACGCCATAAAGAGGGGGGAGACGCTGGACTGCTATTGTAGCTGACACGGTCAACATTTTTGAACTTTTGGAGCTTTTTCTTCCGCGAAAACAAAAACATGGTGTCTAAACTCCCAACGGTTTAGCGGGTAGGGGGATGAGTAAGACATGAAATATATATTTAAAAAAAAAAGATTGTGGGGGTCGCCACATGATCTCATCCCCGTGGGTTTAGTCTACCACCAATGAGTAATTCAGTGATTTCATAATTGTTAGCTAATGTTTGTGTTACACTTCAGCATTTCTTTTGTGGTTCAGGCGACCTAATCGCCGGCAGTGGCGTAACCTCGCAACTAAATGCGCAACTATTGCTCTTCCAAATAAAGATTAGAGCCTTCCAAATTAAGAGTAGCCTTCATATTATGAAACTGTACGTTGTGAGGTGTCTCTACCCCTGATTGATATAATTGAATAAAGACTGCAGTGGGACAAAATGTCAAACAGTGGTCTAGCACTTATACTGAATCACTGTTTCATGTATGTAATAGAAGCTTTTGTGAATAGTTGGAAGCAACACCTGTTGCTTAAAAGCAATTTGCTAATAATGGTATTAATCACCTTAGAACTACTTTAACTAGGAATATTTGATTGTTAATAGTGTGTCTGGACTTAGACTCGAGTACGACGATGCAAATGTTTTGGTGGCTGCCTTTGTGAAGAGGCTACACTTATCTCTTCGAACTGAGAACTTGGAAGTGGAACAAAGCCTGAGTGGGAAGGGGCGAGAAAGCAGACTGTGATGGATTGCTCATTCTGCCCCCACCCTTTGCGGCCAGTCCCCCCACTCATACAAAACAAAAGTCAGCCATCACACTCTGGGGGAGGGGAGACCCAGTCTGGATAGAGTGTACCACTAGTTTCATTGAGAGTTCAGAATAAGGAGAGCAGGGTGGGGGTGGCAGCTGTCCCATAATTGACTTTGAGAATGAATGAGAACATGGCGATCTTAAAACATCTGAGTCTGTACTCTTGAGAGGACGTAGGCCTTCCTTTTGCGATGATCTTGTCTTTAGTCTAAACAGTTTGGCAGCTGGGAAAAGCACAATACTAAATTATGGTTTCTGATTCTTTTCTAGGTGAAAGCACACATTTTGATAGCCCAGATGGCTACATACACTGAACATAACGGCAGACATGGACTACCTTTGGACATGAAGGAGATGCTAGAAGAAAAAGTAAAGACAGAATGTGAAGAAAACCTTGAATCCAAATGCTCATCCAAGGATTTGCGTGACTCTCCCTGCTCAGCTGAAAGCAACACAAGTGGGGTGGCTAGTTTCACCACCAACCACAACTCTGTTGTGTGCCTGCCTCTAGTGTCAGAGGGACTGAAACTGGTATGGACACAGTCTGATCAGACCCGTGAACTCGACACCATCCCAGAGCTGGTCAAAGCCTTCAACTTATTTCCCTACCCGTCGTCTCGGGAGGTTAGCGCTCTAGCCCGGGTCTGTGCCTTGCCACTGGACAAAGTTAAAGTGTGGTTTATGGTGCAGAGAATTAAATATGGAATTAGCTGGTCCTCGGAAGAAATTGAAGAGACACGGCGAAAGCTGGCAGTGCCGGAGCTTTGTGATGACTCAATTGAAACAAATGAGGAAGACAAAATGAAAAACAACACAAGTTATGAGGAATTGGTAATTGAAGACAAGGATAGTGAAGAAGAGGAGAGTGCTCTTTCTAACTACCCACCTCAGACAAACGGCCCAAAGTGTGAGTCACTAGATTCATACAAGCCAGCCAAATCCAGCACACCGTGTTTCAGCTCAACCCTCCCACCGCCTCAGGATTCGTACTTCTACCACCCACCAGCAGACACGCCAGCAGCCGATGTTTCCTTTGACCTTTCGGACTCTTCTCCACGACAGCACCGCCATGGACGCTACAAAAAGTCTAAAGCTCAGCTTGCTGCCCTTCGCAAAAGTTTTCTAAGAGAGAACTGGCCTGCAGAGGCAGAGCTTAGACGCTTGCAGGAAGAAACGGGGCTGAGCCGTAACGACATACGTAAATGGTTCAGTGACAGTCGTTACCAGCTGCGCGTCGGTCGAGGAAGCCTGGCAGCAGCCCAGAACTTTTCTCAGCAAGCTGCTGTGGGAAGTAAACATGATCAACAGTCTCAGCCTCTTCCACTTATTACTCAAAAGTCTCGTCAGCTGAATGGGGCGAAAGGCCATGAGCCAGCACGTAGCAATGGGATTAGAAATTCACACTTCTTCCAGACCTTTTTGTCAAATAGCCTGGAGGCATTTGGGGAAAGGGTTCTTGAGGCACAAGGGCACGATGTTATTGAGGATCTTTCAGGGGAAGGAGACACTTTCAAAGATGAGGAACAGTGTGATGAACGACCCTTACAGTTGACAAAGACTTGCAAGATTGAGCCAGATGTTCCCCTGGAACCATTAAGTATATCCAAATACTCTCCTTATTCTTCCCCCTCAGACAGCCCACCATTGTCTGTCTCACCTAACAAACCATTTTCAAACAAAATCACCACATCAAAGAAGCTAGGCCAGTCAGCCAAAACCAGTCCCTCCACATCTACATCCCCTGCCCTCACTCCTGCTGGGCGACCAAGAAAGACCAAGGAGCAGTTGGATGTGTTAAAGCAGCATTTCTTGCGTTGCCAATGGCCTAAGAGTGAAGACTACACTGAACTTGTTAAGCTTACTGGTTTGCCGCGGGCAGATGTTATTCAGTGGTTTGGGGACACACGCTATGCTGTCAAAAATGGCCAGCTGCGCTGGGTAAAGGGGGTCCGTGATCAGTTCTTGGCAGAGCTGGCTTCCCAGCAAAGCAGCTGCGGTTTAACAAATGGAAGTGGAACATCCTCTCGGCCCGGGGGTAGCCGTAAACGAAAATCTCAAGCAAATGGAAGGAGTGCAGATTCCCCAGATATCCAGCCGTTGGTTAACTATTACCTTTCAAATGGCACACTACATGAAAAAGACCTTGATTCTCTATGCAAGAAATCGAGAATGAGCTACCAGCAGGTGCGGGATTGGTTTGCAGCTCAGGACGTTGGGGAAACTGAGCAGGAATCTATTGTTGTTACTTAATAACATTTCTACAAGTTGAGGTGCTCTTCAAATAATTTGCACCATGAAGCATAAATATTACTTTGGTTAATATTGCTTTAACTGAGCAGGTTTGTAACATTCAGTCTTCCCACTACAAGCCCAAAGTGAGGTTTGTGTTTTATATGTGCTGCATTCCCTGCTTTCCCTAATATATTTGGACTTGAAATACCATTGTGCTGCCTACATTACTGTAAATAGCGCAGCAACTTGTACACTGGTTTGCTTTATTTTTTGAGCTTATTATTTTTGTTTAGATATCACTACAGAATTTCTAGTATATTATGTAGTTTTATAATTTAAATTGGTTGTACATTTGGTACCTGACTGTAGCAAACAACCTACTGCTCCATAAAATGTCTACATTGACAAATTTGTTGACTGATCACTGTGTGTAACCATTCCTTTATAGCCAACAAGTCCTCATCATGAAAAGCACACTGGACATGCACACTTTAAATTGATGTCTTGCACTTTGGTTTATGATCCTGCTGCCGTTATGTTAATTAAATCCAATTATTTCACAGAACATAAATTCCTAATTGTACAGTGTTGTTCTTGATACTTTTAAACTCCTCACTTTTCTTTTTAAGTTACAGAAAATACAGCTAAATTTAATAGCTACAGCGTATTTATGAAACACATTCCTCAATATCCTTAGTCTCTCTGCTGTAATTCTTAGTAAATAAATAGCTTGCATACAAGTGCACCTTTGTGACAGTAACAGTCAACAGTACTAAGAAGCAGCAGACACATCAATGGCATACAAACACCAACCCACTCATTGATTCAGTTTTGGGTTTTTTGTTTTTTTTTTCTTTGGTTCCACCCCTATTCTGTCTTAGTAGTTAACTTTCAGGTTTATAATATAGACAAAAACAGTACTGTGTAATCCAAAGAAGTTTTGTTTTTCAGATAACATTATGATTCATAACCCAAGCATTATCAAATTGTCTTATCAGTTTATGTATTTATTAGTTATTTCCTTCATGGCTGTGTTTGAGAGATGAAAAATGTTTTAGTTGACATACCAAGAATGAAGTGGGCTTTAAACAGAGTCCGTTTAGTTTCTTAGAAATGCCTGGACAAAGGCTGGAAATGTTACGAAGCAGTGTGCATCACTTTGTTTTGTCATCCTGTTAGTCAGGAAAAAGCTAATGTGTCATACTTTGGGGAAATGTTCATAACATGTAGTGTCCTCCTTGGTTGATGTTCTCTTCTTTTTTTTTTTTTCCCCCCCTTGTTGGAAAACTTCTTATTTGCACATTTGTGTCACTGGAAACCAGTAAAGCATTGACCTTTATAACTGTGTGCAAAGTTTTTTGTTGTTGTTGTTCAATGTACTCTATGAATATATCTGACTATTTATTTTTAATCCATGTTAAGTTTTGTTGTGAGTGTGAACCACGTAAAATTAATGCATCAGCAGTGTACTTGCAGAAAGATTACGATGACTCCAACTAAGTTGTCAGTTTAATTTCTTAACAGAACAACATAGTAATATCAACTTCCATTAAAAGTAAAACAATTTATACACACCTTTTTGTTATCAGGGCAAAACCACACAACAATTTCATAGTCCTAATGCACAAATCTCAACTAATGAACGCATCCAGGGGTGTAAATAGACATTTAATCAGTGCCTAGGTGACTGAACTGATAATCCACTTATGAACTGTAAAAGACCAGGAGTCTGGGTTCTGGGGATGAAAATGAAGTGACTCAGTAACGTGAAAATATCAAAAGCTTTTATAAATCTGCTACAATGTTTGATAAAAGTTAGAATTTGTAAGTAGCTGCCAGGTAACTTTTCCCTCACCTGGTAGGTGTGCTTAATGATGTAGGTGTTCCTTTTTAAAACAAAGAGAAAGATTTTGATTGGGGATTGGAGGCGCACAGTATCCAATTTGATACAGCACATTTTCCAGTTTGATCACAGCATCCATGGCAGAGCTAAAAGAGTGTGTTTGCAGCCACACTTACTGTATTCATGAAGAGAACTATGGCTGGAAACTGAAGCAGCTGATCCAGGAGTCTGACAAAACACAGGCACAAGAAAGTTTCCTTTGGTTTTTAATTTTGTAACTTCAACATTCTAAATGGAACCTTCAGTAGTTTTAATAGCAAAATACTTGATGTACTTGTTAAAGCTGATTTTTGGTAATGAGTGAAAAAAACTTTCAGGTTTTATATCTCAAGGAAGCTCGTTTTTTTATCATGGAGGTACCATGAAGGAAAACACCATTCCCTTATTTTATCAGCAACTCAGCCACTTCAACAATTGCGTACAGGTCCATAGACAGACTTATATGTTTACAGG